TCCCAGTGCTTTCAGGGATGCTATTTCAAGAGTCCCAAGATCAGGCTCCTGTGCCCCTGTTAGTTGCAGGCTTCCCATGGGACAGCCCTGTGCTTTGTTAAAAGTTCCTCCATCAGCTTTCCAGCCTCAAGGGAGCTGAAATACTAAACACATGAGGAAGCTGAGGAACTCAGAGGCTGCAGCAGTGGTAGCCATCTCATACAGAGAACTGAAACAGTCTTCCATTGCTGGGGTCTGCTCACTGGGTCAGTACCAGCTGAGGAGCTGGCTGTTACTTGGCAAAGTACGATCTAAACCATATGGCCCAGCAAGGAGATGGTGATGGAAATCTTTATAGAAAACATTTCACAAAATGTAAACAACAGGTTTTCTACACAGAGATAAAGATGGAGATTAATGCTTGAATTATCCTGGATAATTAGTGTAGCAGGTAATTATTTAAAATCTGGCACATCTGTGAATACATCACTTTAACTGAATTAGAAAATCCTTGCAACTGCTGCAGTAAAATGGCTTCAGCAGTCCCACAGGGAAATCTTTTTGGGAGATTAATTCTCACTTCAAATGGCAGAGATTTGCAAGAGGATTATGTGGCTAGTATGACACATTTGCATTGTGATATAAGGGGATATAGGTGGGTTTTTTTCAGAGGGGTGTGCTGGTGTCTTTGCGTTGTGTTCTTTGAGCTTGAGGGCTCAGCCCTTTTAAGAAGTAGATTGTTTTACAGATGAAATGATGCGCAGTGCTTGAAAGAAAATGGTGACAAGAACAAGGGCAAGAGCAACAGAAGCTCAAAGAGTGAAAATCCAAACTTGGATTTAAATTCCTAAAGCAGCAAGATCACAATAGCAAAGCTAGTGGATATGTTTGTTTACCTTACTATAAATGTTACCTAACATTTCATCTAAGAACATTGTATGGTGCAGCACAGGTCTGTGAGGATCCTGTCCTCACTGCGCAGTGGATCTGCTTGAAGCTCCTCTCCATGGTGGAGCACTGCAAGGGCACAGCTCGCACTGCTGAGCTCCCTCAGTGCGTGCCCTCTGCCAGCGCTCCCTGGGCAGGGGCAGCACCTCTGCTTCCTCCTGTCCTCTCAGGAAACCCAGTTTTACTGAAGCCTCCTTTGGTTACATACCTGGGGTGGCTCCAACACGCCATCTCCTGTGAGCCATCTCTCTCGGTGGCTTGTCCGTCGCTGCATAGCTTTGTGGGGAGAGTGGTGGCCAAGCCCAGGCTGAGCAAGGGAAGGGCCTTCGGGTTGGATTCTGCTGGTATTCAGGAGCTCACTTTGGGTGTTCACTTAGTGCAATCTTTGCAACAGCTTTGGTGCAAAGCAGGCTCAGACTTGGGCAGCTCTCAGAAATTTAAATCTTGCCCAACGGCCTGCAGTCACTGGGGAGATGGACTAAAAACCTGGAGCGTGTCTGGTGGGCCACTGGGCCACGTTCACAGCCAGCTCAGTGACTGATGTACTGGCTGTAACTCCTGAGTACTTCAGGTTTGAATTGGGTATTGAATGATTGCTGAAGTGTGGTACCCTTGGTACTCAACACAGGAAGGAGAGTTAGAAAATCTGTAGTTTTGTGTGCAGATTTCACTGTTTAAAGCACTAAAGAGAGCTCTAACCAAGAAAATGGTGGTTTCCTGGCACACAAAGACATTCTCAGTAAAATTGAAATGTCTCTTTGCTGTGTATTTCCAACACGAAACTGCTGCCAGGAGCTCTCATCTGACTTGCTCAGGTTCTCAAAACATCAAGGTGAGTAATTGAGACAGGCTGAGTTTTTAAGCCCCAGGGAATTCATAGCATCAAAAAAGAGTAAGAAAAGATACTTTGAGCTTTTTACAGGGGGTCTGTCTTCTAAGAGAGGTTATATTGCACTTGTTGACTGTGACTGCACAGGAAAAATTACAGGTAAGGCTGAAGCCAACATCCACCAGCCTCACCCACAGACCTGTTTAGATCAACAGGGATTTGTTCAGACCAACTATAAAACTTCCCCAGTGAGAAACTCATGCTAAATTTCACAGCACTATCCTGCACCTGCATTCAGCTCCTGGTCAAGCCTACGTAGTCCCCTTAAGCTATTTTAAAATGAAAGAACACAACCACTCTGTGCAGCAAAACTTTTTTAGCCCTTTTCTTCTTTTCTTTCATAAAAACTAATTTGCAATCCCCAAGCTATAGATTTGCTTTATCCTCCTCTACAAACAGCATCCAACATCCACTGCTAAATTGCCTCTGCCTAGGACATGTCCTTTTCATAATGTGCTGAAGGAAATTGCTGCCAAGCCAACACACACCTGATCCCACTCCATTCTAGACCTTTGATGGACCTTTGTGGAAGGGAATGGTGGGTTTATAACCTTCTCCAAACTACCTTCTCTCTTCTGACTCCTCAACAGGACATTTACACCTACTTCTGTATTGACAAAAGCCTTAAAATACACGTCTCTATCCAAAACAACAGTCTTTGCACTTTCCTTCAGCTACTGCCTTACCCTGGACTCTCCAGCAGCCCCAGACAGTGCTATCCGTGTTGCCAGGTGTCTGTAGTTCCTGCACACCCTGAGAAAGGCTTACTCACAGCAGGGCTGAATAACTCAATGCTGATCTCATGCAGCCATTCCCCTACAACGTGCTTTAGATTTTTGAACCAGCAGTGCACCTCTTGTCTGCAGCCTTTCAAGATGCAGCCACCATTGGATTTTCCCTGGTAGTGAGCCTGTCCAGGTGGAGCACAGCAAGCTGCAGGTCAGGCCCCTTCTCTGCCAAGAGAGATTTGATCTCCCGCCTGTCCCACAGGCAGCGTGCCCTCCTCAGCGGCCCCCTGGCTCACCTGGCCTGTGATGCCAGTCATTCTTCTTCCAAAGGCTGTTTCAACTGAAGTTGTCCAGACCAGGAAATGTTCAGGTAGAAAGATGGGCATGAGTAAGCCTTTAGGATTGGGCAGGGAGCAACCAGCCCTACTTCTGGGAGAGGCTGGGACAGCTCTGCCTTTAACTCTGAGAAGTTATTAGGCAGGAGTCATCCTGTGGGCTGGCTGTGGAGCTTAGAGCACTAACCCAGACTCTGGGAAGGAGGAACAGCTACTGCACGGCACCAGCTTGTCCTGCTCTCCTCTAGCTCTGCTGAGCTTGCTGCAGCCTGCAGGTAGAGACAAATGATTTAAAAATGAGCAGGACTTTTTTTTTTTTTTTTTTTTTTTTTTTTTTTTGTGGGGTGGCAATTATTTCTACTGCTGCAAACTGCATTTTTTACTACCCAGAACTTCATTTCTACCAGCATCAGTTTCTAGTGCTTCATGGTGATGCAGCAATCTCCACACTTACGGGGTCTGATGATGTATGAGGCAAAAAGGGGCATGGCAGGTTGCTTCTCTGAGTCTACCTACAGCTTGAAAACAGCCCTCTTGGTAAGTTGGCAGGCGATAGTAGTGTTCTGGGCTGATTCAGACCATCTGCAGAGGCTAATGTGCTCCTGGGCCACCAAGGCACTCGTTTTAAATTGAGAGCTATACATAATTTGAATACACTATTAAAATGGAGTCCAGCTGCATCTCACTGTCAAACTGTGAGCATATTTTACCCATGTCAGAGCACTGGAGTGTAGCCAGAAAGCCAGTGTAGTAATTTTTTGGGCATGATGTTCAGCCATATTTTATTAAACTCCCTGTGCTGTGCTTCTGAGGGCTGCTGCGCTGCAGCCCAGCATAGCTCACTCAAGGGCTGCCTGTTCCAGCCTGGTTGAAATCTCCTCAGAAACTTAAAATCTCACATTGTCCTTTTCTCCTACCTTGCACTGTTACTTAGCCTAAATCATCACAGCTGTGGTTTAATCTCATGTCAGATACTGTTAATGTAAATGCTGAACAGCTAAAATGTCATAACCATCATCTTAGTACTACACTCTGCAATGATAACAATACACAAATTTACTATTTAAATTCAGTGTACTGTAGTAAGCTGTGTTCAGCACTGCTTGGCTTGAAGGCTTCTATCTAATGTCAGAATTTCTGCAGAACATACGAAACAGTGGCAGTTTTTAACTTTAAAACTAGCATGAAACAGCATGAAACTTGTTTTGAGTAGATGCAGTATCTCTCTGAATCCAGGATGTAGGTAGATGTCTCTGCCCTGATGTTGAAGGGAATGTGCAGTTTGTTCCAGGGCAGAACAGCCTGTTGACTCCACAGACTAGATGGCAGATAGCTTGATCTGGGGATCACCATTTTGCAGTCTGTAAGGTCAGTGTCTTACATAGACTCAGTATTTCTTTCCTGGTGACTGTATGGACCATGTACCTATCTGTGCAGCTGTAAAATAATGCTATTAACTTTCCACCTTTACTTTGTTGGGATGAAAAACACTAGAGCACAGCAAGCTAGCTAGCATGGTGATAGTATAAATGAAAAAAAAAACAAAACAAAACACCAAAAATCAAACAGTAGAACGTCTCCTGTTTTGTGTAAGGATAATGAGGAAAGAGCTAAAATATGGAACACATAAAATGTGTCACTTCATTATAAGAGCTGAATTAATGGATCCTTTAAAAAACAAACAAATCAAAAAACACTATAGAAGATCTTTTTCCAGGGAAGAATGTGAGAATTCATTGGATTTGGACATGAGAAACAACGGTTTGTGATAATAGAAGTGCTAGCAAAAAGCAAAATAAGAAATGTGTTTTCTTGCTTCTTGTATCGGCACACTAATAAGCACAACCTCTAAAGGATGAAGCCAGGCTTTAGCATGTGAAATTTTTTTTGCTGAATATTGCTATCATCTCATTTCTCAGTGGTTGGTATTTTTACACTCTAGCTACATTTCACACTGATTTTTTTAAGTACACCACCAGCAAGGGAGATGGAAGAAGCAATACTGTTTTGCCTGCAGCTGCAGAAATCCTTTATTGCTCACATGTCACCTCATCAGCCATGGGCATTTGCTCCAGGAAAGCCTGCCTGAAGCTTTTGATAGTCTCTTTCCTTCTCTCATAGGACCATGCAGATATTGAGTGGAAGTTTGCACGGACAAAGCTCTGGATGAGTTACTTTGATGAAGGTGCCACTCTGCCCCCTCCTTTTAACATTGTCCCAAGTCCCAAGTCAGTCTGGTACCTTTGCAAATGGATTCACAATCAGCTGTGCCCAGGCAATGACTCTGACAATGAACAGAAGAGGCATGAAAACCTCAAAACATTCACAGTAAGGCACTGCATGGGGTTATACTTCATTATTTGAGGGTGCTTGTGCATGTTGATCATGAGAGCCACTGCTCTGCCAGCGCAGTAGAAGGTTGCTGGATCATAACTTGCTAAGAGCCATCAGGCGCTCTAAAGACAAGACTAAACATGTAGCATATCATCTGTGCCTTTCTCTTTGCAGGAACGCCATGCTGACAACCTGATTCAGAATCAGCATTACCAGGTAAACTCTTGAGCACATAAAGTTTTTACTTGCTGTTTCTTCTCCTTGCTTATTTTCTAATATCTCGATTCTTGCTTGCTTCTAGAATATATTTTGATAAGTGTAGATCCTCTAAGAAGATTTTGCTTATCATGGATTAAAACATTTCTCATTAGAGATGGGCTGGTTCAGTAAATCACTCCTAGCCTTTCACTCCCTTCAATGTGGTGGAAAGCTTGCCAGGTATCGGTGTCTGCTGAAGTCAAAGGTGACATCCCTATTGCCGTCAGAGGGAGCAGGCTGTCACGTCATCCTGATTAAAACTGGTTTTGCAGCAGTTGTACACACTCTTGAATTGTTCCTTTCCTGTTCTTTTTTGTGAAACATCCCTAACTAAAACAGTGGTTGGGATTTTCTTTTGTTTTGGACAGCTCAGGAAGGATATGTGGTTTCTTTGTTGAATTTGGCTGGGTTTGTTTGTTCTCAACCTGCCTGTCATCAAGTACTCCTTAAAGTCAACCTGCAAAAGAATGAAACTGTATTAAAAGCAACAGCGTCAGTACTTGAATTCAGTGTGATGTATTATGCCAGCATGCTGTAAGAAAAAAAAATTCTCCAGGATGTTAGGTGGTACGTTAGGCTATACTGTCAAAAGCCATTAGTAATTTGTCTTACTTAAGACATCTCCTGCTTTTTGAAGAGTATTTTTAGCTGGAGTTGATGTTTAACATAATTAGTCACCTTTGACAACAGACATTTGGTACTTTCTGCTTCACAGAACAGCTTACGGGTACCAACAGTGGAATCTCTTAAAAAACATCCCAGTAAAACCTCGGTGCAGAGACCACCTTCATGCTTGGTGTTGCTCAGACTTGTTATCCCTATTTATGAAATGTGGGAAATGAAGGATTCTCTTCTGTATATAGAGAACAACCTCTGTGCATGTTGGCTGGCACAGACAAATGTACAAGCTCGAAGTACCAGTTTGTGTATGTAAAGACAGCAAGGAGGTTCACAAACACAGAGCAAAGTGGATCTCACCCTACCAAAAATCTGCACTATAAGAAACAGCCCAGGTAACACAGAGAACGAGAGCCCTTAGAGAAGTCACTGAGGGTGTGATTCAGTCCTCCCAGCGCTGCCCACAGACACTGCAGCAGCCTTGAGAGGAGTTCCTAACCTGCCATTTGGGAACGCCCAGGCAGCTGGCACATGTGGTTTAACGTGCATTGCCTCATGGGGTCCTGGCTGTTCTTCGGGTGATTTATTGACAACACACCCTCCTTGGCTTTCAAATACTTGATAAACAATCTTCAAATGGCAAGTTTAGCCTATCAGGATACACAGCATATACACGAGATTGGTAATCTTAAAAACTGTCAGCAGCTGAGATTAAATGGCTTGAGGACATTTAAGAACATCAAACATTTTTTTCTCAGTGACTTTTACATATACAAAACAAGTACAAACTACCTGCTCACTGTAGTTAACAACTGAGCATTCAAGATGATATGTAACCATTTCCAAAAGTTTGTTCTGCTTAAAAGAAAGTGTTCTGTTTCTAATGGTAAGTGATTTTCTTTTTAAACAGCAAAGTCAGGACAGCCACTGTCAGTTAAGAACTCAGTGAAATGCAGTAAGAACAGAGTTTGGTCTGAGACAGCAGTTGAATCACTTGCATTGTTTCCTATTCCAGGAAGTGATAAGAAATCTTGTGAAAAGATATGTTGCAGCAATGATAAGGACTTCCAAAACCAATGAAGGTTTAACTGAAGAAAATTTCAAGGTAATTTTTTATTCTTTAATAGTAATAAAACATTATATTAATTCAAGTAGCCACTTGCAGAATTCGCACTAACTTGTTAAAAAGGTTTGTAACCTGCTGTGGAAATAGGATTATTACTGGAGCTGGGGTAATATATGATGTGCATATGGGATTTTTTTGAGCAGAGAATATTATTGTCTTCTCATACAATCTCCTCCCAGATTTTAATATACAATATGTTATGTAGACAAAAGCATTGGAAAATGGTAGGAATTAAGTATCTGATTTGAGTCAACATCCCATCCCTAATCCTAACGCAGAGAGAGCCAAAGAATGAGTCTGGGTTAACAGCTCTGAAGAACACTTACCAACAGAGTTAAATTTGGGCTTATCAACTAAACAGGATTTGTGCCATATTGCTAATTTTTAGCAGTGTTTCCTCTCTTCCATAACTGTCTCTGCATATTGGGGGGGGGAGTGGGGGCGGTGGGGTGCTGCCTGGTCAGAGGTGGTTGGTCAAGAGAGCTGGTCCCACAGCCTTCGGAGACAAAAATCTGGTGAGGTCTCCACTTCTCAGGATTACCAATACATTTTTGTGTGTGTATCACTGAATAATGAAGATGTATGTGGTATCCTTGTAAGCATGATTTGGTATCAGCCCTTTGCATAACTCTGCACAGCTCTCCCAGTGGAACGTGATCATTCTTTCATGTCACAGATAAAGCTGCTGAGTGTAACTCATTTCTCCTCTCATCCTAGGAATTGAAACAGGACATCTCAAGTTTTCGCTATGAAGTTCTTGACCTCTTAGGAAATAGGAAGCCCCAGAGGAGAAGTTATTCTACCAGCAGCACAGAGGTGTCCCAAAAGGATGAAACAAATGAGGATGGTGCAGGAGAAAAATCCAAAACCAAGAGCGTGTCTTTCAATGTAGCCAACAAAAAAAAGGACTTCAATGTGTCTGCGCTAATTAAAACTATGTCTGGGATCGATATGGTGGAAGAGAAGCCAAAAAGCAACGGGATCAGTAAGCGCTCCTTTGTCCGAAATGGAAATAGAGTGCAGAGACTTTCCAGCTCCAAGAAGGAGTCCTTTAAGAGACTGGGCCTGCTTTTCTCCAAGATGAATGGACATGTACCTGAACCAAATTCAGAACCCATGTACACTATTTCAGATGGAATTATTCAGCCACACTACATGTGGAAAGACATTAAATATTCTCAGATTGATAAAGAGAAAGAAGAGAATTGTTCCAAAAGTGAAATTAACCTCAATGAGGTGGACTACAGCAGGAACACAAGACACACAGGACAGAGCAAGGAGTGCCCTGTGGTTTGTACCAGCTCCCTTCACTGTGCTTCCAGTATTTGTTCCTCTAATTCCAAACTTATAGACTCGTCAGAGGATGTGTTTGATTCATGGGGAGAGGCCTGTGACTTGTTTATAAACCAGTGGAAAGAGGGGCAGGAGGATCATGTTACAACTCGGCTATAAGTAGTTATCTTACCACTCACTGGAAAACTTAGCCAATTATTTGTAATTGTTTGCTCTCATCTGATTCAGCATTGCTCTTTGAAAAAAAAAAAAAAAAAGAGTAGAACTACTTATGTTAGCTTATTTTATAGCCATCTGCACCTTTTTTAATTTACTTTTTTTATACTCACAAATACTAAACTAAAGGTGTCACCATTTATAAGGTCCCTATAAACCACAGGAATCCCTTTGGATGCAGTCTGAGTCTTCAAACCCCACAGACTTCAGACACGCTGGTGGCCAAGTAAAGGATTTCTCCAGTGCTCATCATCATCCCACCGCCGCTGGGTTATCACTGCTGCTATCCAACACGATTGGCTCTGCGTCCTGCTCGGTTTTCCTTGTCAACACAACCAGCTGGTGAGCAGTGGCTGAGAACCATATTTAAAATCTTTTCAGAAAGAGTTTCTACTTATAACTGGCTTTTTGTTTTCTTTAAGCAATACAACCTCTGGTTCTTTCAGCTGTGTGTGGTTTTTCAGGTTATTATATTAATATTGTAAATTGGTACTGAATAAGAGACCCTTTTGATCACCCAGCTAGAACATGTTATGATTTGCCTACTTACATAGTTCCCATAAGAAATTCCCCCGGTAGGGAGCAGAATCACCTTTGAGTTAGGCTGACACTGGAAGCCAGCACCTGGCCTTGCTACCAACTTCTGTGTAGAAAAACTGACCCCAAACCAGCTGTGGCTGCTTGAAACACAAACATCACAGCCCTGAGCCTGGCCCTTACACCACACCCCTTGAGCTGTATCTGTTTTTTAAAATTCCTAATCTTACTTTCACTGCTGCAGAGAGGATTTTTCTGCCTCTCTGGTGGGTGTCAGGCTTTAGGAAGAAAACCATCTTCCTGGTATATGGCAAGTGCTAGGATAGATCATCTTCCCTGGGCCTGTGAGCTGCATTTCTGAAAAGCAACCTAAGCAATAGCAGCTCAAACTGCATCTGACAGCCTGGGAAGTCTCTGTAGTTCCTTTCCTAAGGTGCAACAAAAAGGAGTGCAGTGGTAGATGTTAGCTTTTATTCCCCCAGTCGTGGCAGTGTCTGGACAGGGCCTAGCAATGTCACTGCTTTTGTTCTACAGAGCATCAGAGAGCAGAGAAGACAACCCCATCAAGGGCAAAATGGTTGAATTTTTAATAGTGATTTTGGTTTTTTTTTTAAACAATGTAATACTTGAACTTTCTTCTGCAGTGTTGCTAAGAAACACAGATGACTGGCACTTACTTACCACCACTTCAGAGCCGTTATTAGTCAGTTGCTTTCTTAGAGGAAGCAAGTCCTGACGGGGAGCTCAGAGCCAGCCTTCCCGAATGGCAGAGCTGCGTTACTGCTCTCGCGCAGTCACGCGTAAGGCTCTGCTCCCGGGAGAGGGTACATGAGCTGGAGCGTATCCCAAGGGCGGTTGCCAACAATCACCTCTTCTGTGAAGTGGGTTGTGAATTGCATTTGTAAAAGCATAATGCTGGAAAATCTACACCTGCCATTGGCACTGGTCAGATTTTACCAGCGCGGGGCAGGAGCGGCTCTCATGGCAGCGTGGGGGTCAGGAGGAGAGGGATTTCTCACTACAGCAGGCCCCACAGAAGCAAAGCTGCACCTGCAGCTGGATACTCTGCCTGAGTTTTAAATCTGGCTCCCTCCTCTTGTTAAGGAAAACCACCTCAGTGGATTTTCCCTTTGGGCGCCTATACAGCATTACCTAAAGGTCAGGATGGAGCACACTTGTATTGGAGAGATAAATGTGAACCGTGCAGCAGCTCCTGTAGCAGAGTTGCAGATGCTAACACTCTGGGAAGTTTTCAGGACAGACCTCAATGTGGAGACCATGGCTCTAGGCCAGCTCTGGTGTTAAGAAAATCAGCAACAGGGAGCAGAGACTCAAAAACGTTTCTGTACTCCTTGCTTATAAATGACACCAGTCTTGTTTCCAGCATGCAGTATAAAGCCCAAAATATTTAAGCTTCTAGACATGTTAGTGAAGGCAGAGTGAAAAGCAACAGATTTCAGGCTTTCATACTAATTGCAGGGTTAGAGTTGTCTTTGAAAACTGCATCTCCTCTTCCTTTACGAAAGGCTGAGCAAACTAACATTGGCACTACACAAGGAGACTTGCAAAAATCTGAGGGTCAGAAGCAGCTTGCTGATCATTTGTGAAGAAATCCAGCACCCCTGCCTTTTAAGAGGTGAAAACATCAATACACAAGAGCTGCAGTCAGAATCGACCACGAGCAATTCTCAAAGTAGCTCACCATAAAAGTCCTACACTGTAATAAACCAAACTGAGCACATTTCTGGAAAGACGAACATTAGCAAGAGCTGCTACAGGGGGGTGAAGGAAAGGATTTGAATCATTTTATGCCTCACCTCACCACACTGCAGTTTATGAACTCTACTTGACATGGGGCCAGCAAATCTTTATGGTATTTCCTGTGTAATGAGTAAGAATGAAAACAATTCAAGTATGGTCATGCAGACTGCATCAACTGAGTTCAAGGCTGAGATAGAAGCAGGGTTCATATCCTTGGACAGGGGAAAGGCTTTTAAGATTTCCATGAGAGCAAGCATATTGCTACTGGTGATGATTATATTGTGTCATTCGAATGCAGCACTGCATTAACAGGTACAAATAACAAAATGAAATGCAATTAACTCTGCAGTGGTGCCCCCTCAAAATACAAAAATTGACACCATGCAGCGCAAATCCCTTCTGTGCAAACTGTGTGAGTCATGTTCTCCTGCTGTGTCCTGAAAGGGCAGGGGTAGGAACTGCCACATTGGAGTACCACGATGGATAACGCAGTCTGCAGAAATCTCTCGATAACGTTATGTTAAAGGCAAGAGGTACGTCACAAGGCTGCTTGGCTTCGGCTCCCCTGGGATTTGTTTCATGACTCAGATACTTCCTAGCTCCCAGCTATGAGCTAGTCTGAGTTTACTTTGGGATTTAACACAAATATTTGATTTGGCTGTGATTAATACATGTGTCCAGGAGTTTGCAAAACTGTCAGATTGGCCCCCCAAAAGGCAAAACTCTATGTGATTGCATCTATGCATCCCCTTTGGTAGCAATAGACTTTATAGCAGCTGGTGAATTATTATTATTACTCTAAAACAGGAGCTTCAGGGGAAGGAAATTAAAGTATCTTTTGAAAAATAATTTGATAAGCAAAACCTGGGGTTTTTTTTGGTTTTTTGTTTTTTTTTAATTCACTTGCAGTAACAGTATTTGGGATTTCACTAGCATTTTTCCATTTCTCAAAAAGAAAACATGTTTTAGTGAAAGTTATTCTTTCCTTCAGCGAAATCAGTGAACTACCCCTGTGCTGTCTGCACAAGCAACCAGGGTAGGAACTGGTGGGACACTTGGAGCTTCTCTTGTGAGGAGTTAAACTTCTCCTTGGCTTGGGTTCAAGATGCACAGCTGTGCTCCAGCTGGTACATGCCTGGCCTTTATTCTGTGGGCTTCAATAATAATCCTTACACTTATGCAAGGAATTTGGAATTAGGGATAATAGAGATCTCAATCCCTTGCCCTTGCTCTTAAAGATGCGTTATTTCTCACTTTCCATCCCCAGTGTCATTTTCACCTGGCTTTTTAAAGCAGCAAACCTACAAATGATCACCTATTAAAAAGTGAACAAATAACTTCCAGGGTTGAGAATATCAAATAGAGCTAGGAGGTGTTTGTACTCAGGTCAGAGATTAAAGAAGTTGTTTCAGAAACAAGAAATTAACTGACATATCTCTGCAGATATTTGGATAATTGCATTTGTATATTATTCACTTACCGATATCTATGTAAATACTCAAGTATTTGTATATGTGGTCCCTAAGAGGAAGCATGCACAGCGGTTGGAGCACAGGACTGCTGAGGTCTGTTCCCAGCTCTGCCACTGACTCACCTGTGACCTTGGGCAAGTCACTTAGCCTCTCTAATGCCTCAGTTTCCCCATCTGTAAAATAGGGATAATAATACTTACCTACCTCGCAGGGGGGGTTAGTTCATTATTTATAAGCACTTTCAGATCTTCAAATTAAAGGCGCTATATACAGTAAGAAGTTAATATTCGTAGCAGTAGTATGTACTTTTATTTTCTTACAACTAATTCAGGTTAGGATTTAACTGTATGTCTGTTATGATAGTTTTCCATGTAGGAAACTAGCATGGTTTCCCACAAAGGGAATTTAGGGGACTTCCGCAGTAGACAGAGAGCAGGAGCAGCATACCCTGGAAGCCTAAACGCTAAACACTCTTGCTTTTGTGATTTATGTCTCACCCTTAATGTCACCTCACTGTATTTGTGTTTCATCTTTTTTCTGATGGTACATGTAATATAATTTTTAGCAGAAACAGCCACTGTAAATATTAAATACTATTTAAATAAATATATTCATCTATAAATATACCTTTTAAAGAGGTTAAAATTGGTTGATGCAACACACTTGTAAGCATGGAGAGGTTCCACAGGCAGCCCAGGACGGATGCATGCACGCACACAGGGCAGGATGCTGGAATCGGGCTATAGGAAAATGTCACCAGATGTTATCACCTCCTTCACATTCACTTTTCACCCCACTGCTGGCGAGGGCAGCAAGTCACACAGGTGACAGGGTGTGGCGGGAGGGTGTGCAGTGTGCTGGGGCCAAGGGAGGCTGTGCCTGGAGCTGAGCTGCCCTGCTGCTCCGTTTTCCCGAGGGGCTGGGTAGGGCAGCTCCAGCAGCACTGTGTCCCCAGCATGATGGCTGCTGGAGGAACCCCTCCCAGACAGCAGGAGACTGTCTCCTGTGTCCCTACGAGGGGGCTCTTTGCCCTGATTTCTCTGTAGGTACAATTTGTTTTTCTTTAGTGCTGACTCAGGAAAAAGGTCTTTGGTTTGAGTGACAGAACTCCCAAGATTTGACTTGCAGGGTCAGGGCACTATGAGCATTTGGAGCTCCCTTCCAGGAACACAAGCAGTTGCAGGGTATCTGCACCAGGGATTGGGACAGTTACTAATGGCATAAGCAAGGATCTGATTTACTTCTGGGTTTTCTAGCAGGTGGAAAACTAGACGAGCACCTGCTGCTCTCACACCATTAACTGTATGTCCCATTTCCCTCCGGACTTTCTCAGCTCTGCTTTGAAGTTTCTACTTTCCTTTTTGGAAGGCCAAAATCCCTCCCCAAAGCATATTTCAATTAACCCAGAAGAGGTGCAATTTTTGTTTCATTTCTGGCTGAGTTCTCCTTCAACCAGTTCACTTCTCCTGCAGCATGCTAACACTTTTTCAGAGAGGCCCATGAGGAAGCTCCACGCAGCCTCAAAGCTGATTTCCAAAGAAACGGGATCACCCTTCCACTTCCATTGCAATTCCCCAGTCAAATAGAATGGCAAAAAATAAGCAAAACCATCCAAACCACTAGGGCTGCCTAGAATGAATGAAAATTGATATCTCTAGAGCTGTTTCAGGGGTGGCTGTACTGCAAGGACCCCTCCCTCACAAGAGGGGCCACCCAGCACCATGGCCACAGCCGAGCCACAGCAGGTTGCAGCTTGCCCAGGTGTGCTGGAGGCATCAGCAACTCTCATTCATGTAATGGTAAAATTAATTGGAATTGGTGAGACTACAGAGAATAACAAATCAGCTCACTACAGGAGCATCTAAAATAAACTGTTACCAAAATAAGCCGTAGTTTTCAGCAAATGTGTAACTTGAAACCTAACAACTATAAAGTCAATCAATGGATTTTGGTTTTGGGGAGGAGGCGAGGAGCACTCTAGGCTAGCCACATTAACATATTTTCTAATAATTTGTAATTTGATTCAGTTTCATTTTCACACTACTACTTTCCCCATTTCAGGCCATTACACTTTTGCAAACAAGGCATTTATTATTATTTATTTATTATTATTATTTATATTATTCACATAATTGCCTCACCCAGAACTGCTGCTGCTCTGGAGTAAATTCATGACCAAGAAGGACTATTTTAAAAAGAGAACATGCTTTATCTAAAAAAGTATGTAAGTGTTTGATCCTTATCTTCCAAATGTCTGATGGTATTTTATGCTTCAGGGAAACAAAACCCCCAACCCATAACAACAAATGAACCCCCCTGACATAGCTCAAACCACCCACAATTGTAAAAGCCAAATTGATCTTGCAGTTCTTTCTTTACATACAGAACCTGCTCAATCAATGGCTCACCAATGACAGAAACCTGTGCAGCCCGTTCTGCCTGGCCAGCACATCCTCCTTCAGCATGCCTTATTTTGTTTATTTTGGGGATTTTTTTTTTCCCCTCTCCCATTTAAAGCATTTCCATGTTAGCAGTAACTCCTGAGACAGAAGAAACGATGTGTTTAGACAAGACGTGATCAATTGAGGAGCTGGTCTTTTAGCACATTAGCTAACAGAACACTGTGATACCTTTAGCCAATGGAGTGAAATGCCTTTTGACTATAAATAGTTGTTTTTGAGCAAGGGGGCACTTTTTGGTCTAGCTATTTTTTGGGTATTGTACAGTCTTATTTAAAAACTACTGAATGTGTTTATAAGGCGGGTCTGGGAACCAGAGGGCAAGGGATCTTTGAGAAGCAAAGAATAGTAGCAGATGCCTCAGCACTCTCTTTTCTATATGGCAAGCCCTAGAGACCCAGGCTTACTCTGCAAACAGTTTTTTTAGCAATCGAGTTTTAATATCAAATCTTCATTAAAAAAAGCTATCACAGAAACAGCTTCGCACCTGAGCATATTTTAAACTACCATTTTACGTCATGGGATAAAAAAAAGTGAGGCTTTTTTTTTCCTCCCACTTTATTTTAGTTTTGGTCAAAAACGTGATGGCCTTTCCCAGGCAAAAGAGCTTTTAGATGTTGCAAGAATTTTGTGTATGTGAAGACAGAGCGGGGACCTCAGCATTTGCCAGTTGAATAGTAATAGCCACCCCTAGAGAAAGGGCGGGGAGGAAAGGGGAAAAGCAAAAAGCAAAAACAAATGCTTAATTTTATGTACTTTTCTACTCGCATCTCTTCTGTCCATAGTGCAGACTCCATGTCATAACTTCATATAACATGTAAAAATGAAATGATGTACATAATAAAATTATTTATTTTATGTGTATTTTTAGCTTAACTGTAAACTGAAAAAATTTAATTTTTTTTCCCAAAAATGTAAGCCTATTGAAATTCAAGGTGTTTCTACCTTTTCAGATGTAACATTTCCAGCTGCCTATTGATAATAAACATTTATGAACAGCAACAGATCTGACATTTTACAGTTTTTTTAAAATCATGTTCAGCCCAGACTTCTCAAGGGTTGTCAGGGGGCAGAGGAGGACTTAAGAACTACAATTCTAGAGAGACATATATTGGTATTTACATTAAAAAAATGTGGCACAGTCCTGCTTACCTACAAAGAAGTCGGCCACCCAAATTTCAGCAAGTGTTTGGGGCAAGAGCTGAACAACACCTGGCTCTGAAAAAAAAAACAACCCAAGAACAGTCATTATATCCTGTCTACAACAGAAAATAGCAAACCACTGGAAGCGTTGGTAAATAAAATGCACCACATTAATGCAATTACTTCTGTACAAAGTAGTCTAAGGAAATGTAATTCCATTTTAATTTGCTCCCCAAAGATACCCTTCAACCAGCACTACATCAGCCACATTATAATACACAATGATGCAGTTACTAGTGTAAAAGAGTCATTAACCAACAACATACAACTATATTAACATAATTTGTTCATGTAAAGTTGTTCTCCAAGCAAATCTCATTAAAGTACTAGAGGCATGCAGATACATTTCAGAAGGTTTACACCAATTACCAGAAGCTCTTGTTCAAGCCTCCAGTAAAACAAGAATTTCTTCAAGTTAAACAAGGCAATTCCCCTTTTTTTGAAACACAGAAGATTCCTGCACAAGGGAGACACACAGAGAAATAAACCCAGTCCATGTCAAAAGCTGTAGCAAAGCCCAGGACCACAGTGATCTGCAGCTACAGGATTTTAAATTCTCACATAAAGACAGAAGGCTACTCTTTTTTTTAATAGAGAAGGGCATTGTGAAGTTGGATGTGCACCTTCCCACTCACATGAGAAAACTTGGAATTTCAAAGTTAAGGCAGCCCGGATCCCCAGTTGTGCTTCCTATTCCAGAAACAGGAATCAAACTGCACCTGAAAATTACTTCCCTCCCCTCAGCCGTCCCTGAGGAGGTAGATGTGCTACACCAGCAAATACCAGATTTGACCAGAAAGGGAGGTGGGGGAAGAAGTTTTGCAGTGTATTTTATCTTCTCTTACTTGTGCTTCCTGAAAAGTAATCCAAGTCATGTATTCACATAATCACCACAAACATTAAACATTTTTTGCTTTCAATGACAACAAATGTTTTAAAAATACTGGTTTAAAAAGAGTCAAAAGCCAGAGTTTTAGATTTGATTGGAAAGTGCAAATAGGGTAGGGAAAAGGAAAAACATAAAGGAGAGGATACAGGGAGTTAAGTAGTCCATTAATTTTATCATTAAAGGATATTTCACTTTCTCTTAAAAGACCATTTTCTCTAACACAACAAACAGTCATCACAGCTATAAGAACAGAGCAACACTTATCTTGGAGTAAACCCCAGCACCTCGAAGCTCATGGCAAAACATTCTGTTCCCAGGAAGGCAAGATTTAGCATCTGGAATAAAAGTGCTGCTGTAAACTGAGTCTAACACATAAAACCACCCTGTCAGGAGTCAGGCCCATGTTCCTGTTCCTGCAGATCACCACACTTGCAGAGATGACTCAAGTGCAGTAACGGCCTCATGCGTGCTCTTAGCCAATGGCTCAGCCTGGCAGAACTATTTCATACTTGCCACAACTTGGCTGACTCTGAAATCTGGTAAGCAGCAGTGACTTGATCACACATAGGAGTTTCTAGATACAGGCCTGCCCTGCAAAATTTAAACTCTGATCTTATTTCAAAGCTATAAAGTCCTGGTCCACGGGTTTTATTTTCCTCCCTTATGAATAAAAAGCAGTTACTTGGAAGTCTGGGTCTGGATTTATATGTTGGATAACTTCCATAGATAATGCAGTCTTTGATGGTGAGATTTTTTAAAAGAGAAAGGCGTCCAGCAGCACTGCAGAGAGAACTGGAAGCCAAGAGTAAAAAAACCACAAATGAGTTAGAAAAAAAACTCGCTATAGGAATGGGTTTGGTGTTCTTGCATGACCAAGAGGAAAACAGAGCACAGGAGTGATAGCCCATCAGGTTAATGCTGCTGGCAGGCAGAATCAGCATAGGTTTTCTCTACAGTATTTATAATAATTATCTTCAATAACAGATGGATTTTACAATTCAAAGACTTCAGAGACTCGTGCCTCTGGCAAACAGCAGTAGCACCATGGATGATAAGACACACGGACTAAAGTGGGAGTAGCGTGACTCCGGCTGCGGAGGAGGGCTGCAGGGCACAGGACAAAGGAGGGGGAGCAGGATGTGCTCTGCAAGGGCGGCCCTCAAGGCTTGGCCCGTCCTTTGGTGCAACACCCAAGAACCTCTGCCAACATACTGTGCTTTCACGTCATCGTGTAGTGAGCAGTAATCAGAGAACAGAAGTATAACCTAAAGTCTGGCGACCTGTGGGCAAACACAATCAGACTGAAGCTTGCTCCTTCTAAGGGCAGAGAGATTTGCAGCCATTTAAAAGAGACCGACGTACTTAAAAACACAAGCAGCTCACACCCCGAAGCACAAGAACCACAGCTGATCACTGCTTCTTTCATCCTGTGGTTTCAGAAGAGAAGAGACTTGGCTCTGAAGCTGTTTATTAGAGCTACAAAATCAGAAGTGCTCACATCTAAAGAGCACTCTGTGGCGCTGCCAGCTCATGGATCCTTCCTGAACAACCTTCAGGTGTTAATTTATTTTGATCCCCTGCCTTTCATATATAAAAACAGTGCAGAAAAGAAGGTAGCAAGCAGGACTAGCACAGACTTGGCTACACAACTCTTCTGTTCTGTTCTCCCTTTTAAAGGCTCAAAACTCATCCACAAAAAATAGAGAAAAATGAAACACACATTTCAGGATCAAATCCTTGCTTTAAAAATTCATTATTATGAAACATACTTCAAGAAACCCAAGGGGGGGGGGGGGGG